TAAAATATTCTAATTATGATTTCTCGTGTTAGGTGTTGTTGTTGGTGTTGCTATTACTGTTTCATTATTTATTTTTCCCTTTAATTATCTTGAATTTTATTACGTGTCTTTGTGATATTTCTCATATATCTCAAAATTTTATTACCTTGTGTCCATGAGTTATTGCAAACAAACATTCAGCTCCCGAACGTTGGAATTTTTGGTAAAAGAACTTGGTAATCCCTCAGCGTTTCTATTTTTGAATATTTTATAGTTTTTCAATTTGTTGTTATTTTCAAAGTCAATTTTTTATTGTTTCTCATTTTTCTTTTCTTAAAGTCAAATAATAGCTCGACCACCACTTGTTAAGATAACATTCTTTGGTTTCTTTCTTCAGCGGTGCGGGGAAGGGAGGTGGGTGCGAAAGTAATTAAAGTGCGAATGAATGAAAACATTCTGGAAATATTTTTTCTGACCATTATGTTTGGCGCTATCATGCTATGCGCAAAAGTAATTGAAAACATTTCTTATATTTCTAAGTTCAATGGCAGAACTTTGAATTTGAAAAAAAGAAAACTTTTTTTCTTCAAATATTTGGATAAAGTTTAATTGAAATAAGAGATAATCAAAAGTCATTTCAAATAAGCGTACCCATCTCTGCATTTTCTGTAATTTACCTTGTCAAATTTCTCTGCATAGAAAACTGGTTCCCATCCCTGATTTGAGTACGTTCAATGAAATCATAAATATGAATTTTGACAATAAGATGTCAAACGTTTGTAAATTTTAATTGTCAAACAAATTTTGCAATTTTTGAATGAAAAATTATTCAAATTTATAAAAATTGTTGAAAAATGCATATTATAATAACCTCCGATTGGTGTCGTATAAGAAAACATATAACAATCTACTGATATTTGAAAAAAAAAAAAACATTTTAAAATGTTTGACATAACAATGTTCCAAAGGTTGATGCATCTACCTATATTCTTCTACCATGTTGTAAACATATCATGACTTTACCTTTCGTAATTCTGTATCTGATTTTTGGTAATAAGATAGAAAGACCTTGTATCGCCGGGAATTCTATGATTTAAATTTCTTTAAAATATGTTATTATCACCATTTTCGTAAACACATTTTTTTGATATAAAGATAAAGTAGAGTTCAAATTCATGTAAATCACTCGAAACTACCTTGGAACTAGTTCCATAGTGAACTAACACCGGCTTTACCAATGACAAAGTAATTGAGTTTATGTATTCTTTTTCCAAATATTAATTTTTATTCAAGTGACCTATACTTCAAAGAGGTGTAAAAGCTCTCATATAGCTTATATCACGATGGTAGTAAGGAATATTTCCTAATTGTTAATTAGACCAGAGAGTTTTGAACTCCAATGTCGCAAAGGAAAGGTGTCGTGATAGTAGAATAAAGATAGATGTATTAACACAGCTGCTGGGACAATGAACTGTCAAACTAATTTTTGTAGAAAAACGCATATTATAATAACCTCCAATTAACGTGGAATAAGAAAATATATAAAAATTGACATATTTTTGAAAAAAAAGTTGACATATCAATGTTCCCAAGCGTTGATGCATCTACCTGTATTCTTCTATTAAGCTTGGAACTAGTTCCATTGTGAACTAACACTGGCATTACCAAAGACGAAGTAATTCAGTTTATGTATTTTTTTTTTCAAATAACAATTTTTATCCTTGTGACCTATGCTTCAGAAAATTGCAAAAGCTCTCTTAAATCTTGTATCACGATGGTAGTAAAGAAAATGTTTTTTTATTGTTAATTAAGTCAGAACTCCGTGTCGCAAAGGAAAGCTGTTCAATGCCAAGGTGTATTTACAGGTGCTTTGTTCCAGAACCTGCAAGAATCTGATAGTTTTGCAAATTTTTTCGATATCATAAAGGGAAAATCGGTTATCGTAGTAAAAACTTTTACATTCTTGCAGTTCGAGAACAGACCAAGGATGACAAGGTAGGGCTAAATTTTGTCATCGTTTATGGTCAAAATAAAACTTTTTAATTCAAATTTATAAAAATTTTATATTTTTCTGACCAAACTTGGAAGGTATAATGTTTCAAATATTGTTTAGTGTTTTTTATAGATTCCACGTTAAAAATATTTTACGGAAAAAGAAGTCTAAAGGTGATAATACATAAAACGCCTATTTTTTGACTGGCTTCTTCGAAAAAGAACACAGAAGCATAGGGCCAAAATCGAACTAAGTAAACCTAAAACTCCTTTCTTCCTCTACGAACAAGCCAGCCGATGACTTAAGCCAATCAAAAAAGCGTTTTATGTCTCCTGTGTGACCTTATTAAATAAGCTTTGGTCTACTCTTCGAAAAAATGAATAAATTCTATTGCTTATGAAAATGTTCTGGAGTTTTGTTTGTTTATATATATCACCACTTTCGTAAAGTACGTTTTTCATCCGAAACAAATCCACAGTAAATATTATCCTAGATTTCCATGTAATATTCGTCAAAATAATCAAAATTGAGCTAAGTCTCTGGATTTTTAGACTTTAGATAAAAAAGTTTCTTCTTGAGTGTATAATCCGAAACAGGTTTAAAAAAATTGCAACTAAGAAATTACGGATTATCCGCATATATTCTTTAAAATCTTAAAGAAAAATTGGAAGCTGAATGACAGCATTTTTTAGTCATTTAAATTTATTTCTTCATCTGGCATGTTTTTCAATAAAACAATGCAATCCAATCAAAAAACCGTTTTATGTATTCTCACAATAAGGCCTGAATTTGTCTTCTGTGTGACCTTATTAAATAAGCCTTAGTCTATTCTTCGAATAAAATGAAGATATGCAATTGTTAATTTAAATGTCCTGGAGTTTCGTTTATTTTTATACATATCACCATATTCGTAAAGTACGTTTTTCATCCGAAGAAATTCTAGAGGAATAATCCTAGATTTCCATCTAATATTCGTCAAAATAATCAAATATGTGCTAAGTGTCTGGATTTTTAGACATTTCACAAATAGGCTTCTGCTTGATTGTATATTTATATCACCATTTTCGTAAAGTACGTTTTTAATCCAAAACAAGTCCAGAGAAATTTGCAACCAAGAATTATCCGCATATATTCTTTAAACTCTAAAAGAAAAATTGGAAACTGAATGTCAGCGTTTTTCTAGATATTTAAATTGTTTTATTTTCCGGCTTTTTTTCAATAAATGATCCGTATATTTTGTTTTCTAATTATGTCTTTTTGAAACTCTTCATCGATTTGAAATCAAGTATTTCGTCTTAAATTTAAGACCTTCTTTGGATATTCGCATTGTAATAAAGTTATTTATTTTTAGAGTTTTTTTTTATAAAGTAGGGTTTTTATCCGAAACTATTCCAAAGAGTTTTTCAACGAAGAAATCCTGGATTTCCATCTAATATTCGTATAACTTTTCATCAAAATTGTTAGCTAGACATAATTTTTCAGACTTTTAAATTGCTTTCTTCTTAATTGTATATTCATATCACCATTTTCGAAAATACGTTTTTAATCCAAAACAAGTACAGAGAAATTCGCAACTAAGAATTTCCGGATTATCCGCATATATTGTTTAAATCCAAAAAAATGGAAGGTTGATGGTTGCGTTTTTAGGCATTTAAATTGCTTTCTTCTTCTGGCATCCGTATATATTGTTTTCTAATTTTGTCTTTTAGATACTCTTCATAGATTTGAAATCAAGTATTTCGTCTCAAATTGAAGACCCTCTTTATAAGACCACTTCAGATTTCCCCACTTTAATAATTTTTTTTTTTTTGAGTTTTATTTGTTTTTTATATCACCATTTTCGTAAAGTACGTTTTTTAAACCAAACCTATACCAAAGAGATTTGCAACCAAGTAATCCTCGATTTCCATCTAATATTCGTATAACTTTTCATCAAAATTGTTAGCTGGGCATCATTTTTTTACACATTTAAATTGATCTCTTCTTAATTGTATATTTATATCACCATTTTCGTAAAATTCGTCTTTAATCCAAAACAAGTCCAGAGAAATTTGCATCTAAGAAATTCCGGATTATCCGCATATATTCCTTAAATTCTAAAAAAGAAATTGGAAGCTGAATGGCAGCGTTTTTTAGACATTTAAATTGTTTTCTTCTTCTGATTTTTTTTTTTCAATAAAACAATGCCGCTATGATCCGTATATTTTGCCTTCTAATTATATCTTTTAGAAACTCTTTATCGATATGAAGTCTCAAATTAAGGACCTTCTTTAAAAGACCACTTCGAATTTTCGTATTGTAATAAAGTTATTTATTTATTTATTTTTTTTTTTGAGTTTTGTTTTTTATATCACCATTTTCGTAAAGTACGTTTTTTTATCCAAAACTATTCCAAAGAGTTTTGCAATCAAGAAATACCGGATTATTAGCTTGATTCTATAATTTTTAACAAATTTTTAAAATGGATGTAAATATTTTTTAGACATTTAAATTGATTTCTTCTCCTGGCATTTTTTTTCAATAAAACAATGCCGCCATAATCCCTAATTTTTTTGTTTTCTAATTATGTCTTACTGAATCATTTACATACTCTTCATCGATTTGAAGTCAAGTATTTCGTCTCAAATTTAAGACCCTCTTTATGAGACCACTTTAGATTTTCCCATTGTAATAAAGTTATTTTTTGTTGTGTTTTTTTTTTTTTCATTCATGTCTGCTTGCCCTATTGTTCTGTCCATTATCAAAAATATGTGATTCTCATTGTTGTTGTTTTCATTTCAATTTTTAATTACTACTTGATAATAGACCCGCATTTAATAATTGGTGGGAGTATTTATGGCATTATCGTGTGCTGCTGCTGCAGGCGATGATGGGGGTATTTTTTCAACTGGCACGTGCTGCTGCTGGGTTGCTTCCAAAAAGGAGCTTTTTAATTTTGATTAACTTGAATAATATTTCAATTCTTTGTTTCTTCCTTCAACATTTTGACAAATTTAACCCTCTTTTTTCATTACTTCTTTAATTACAGAAGCCGTTAACTTGATCATGTGGTACCGCGATGAATTGCCCATTACAAATGGCAACACCACACTGGTGGTGGGCATGTACGATGTGGACAACAAGCACAGCCTTACCATTTATAATTATACCAGCACAAAGAGCGGTAATTTCTCGTGTTCCGTTATGCCGGCCGATGTGCGTCAGTATGTGAAGATTGAATTGAAGGCACCTGAAAATATCACCGAAATGAATGGTGGAGCTTCGATTTTGAGTGGCATAAATACCATAATCATGATGATCATCATGGCCATATCAATTTGGTATTAAATTTAAGAGAATTGTTTTTTTTTTGTGTGCATATATATATATATACATACATATATATTTTTTGTCCTGTATCTGCCTAACTAAAAGAAATCGAAAGGAAACATTTTTAGGAAATCTCAGACAACATTATCAACAAATGGAACAAAATTTATAATTATTATTATATACGAGTGTAAAAAGAGGCTGAAACAACTACAACAACAACACATTTCACATCATATAACACGTTCATTGCATCGAACCTACCAACATATATCTCTTTATCTTATCATGTTAAACGAAACCACTGACATACAATGCTAATTATATACAAACAAAAGAAGAACAAAAAAAGAACCACAAATGTACTTATATACGAAGAAATTAGCAAGATTTTTTCTTTAGAAGAAATAACAATTAACAATAGTTTGTTTTCTGTTAGATCTGTGAAATTACGATAATTAGCTAGCTCGGTTCACATTTATGTGCGTTTTACAGGAGAGCATGGCCACACATGCAATTATCTTAAATATCTCAGAGAGTTTCTTTTTGTAGGGGTTTGTAGGTAGAAAACTGTCGTAGTTATTAAAACTCTATTAAAGCTAGCTGCCCACACATCATCAATCAAGTAAATCTGTTTTAAGAATTTTAAATTGTTTAAATCATTAAAAGAGAGGTTTAGATCAGTTTGTTTTCTGTTAGATTTATGAAATTATAATAATTAGCTAGCTGAGTTCATATTTATTTGCAATTTACAGGGTAGCATGGCCAGACATTCAATTATCTCAAAGAATTTCCATTTGTAGGGGTTTATAGGTAGAAAACTCTCTTAATGATTAAAAACACAATTAAAGCTAGCTGACCAATCAAGTAAATCTGTTTTAACAATTTTTAATTGTCTAAATCATAAAAAGAGAGGTTTAGATCAGTTTGTTTTCTGTTAGATTTATGAAATTATATTAATTAGCTATCAGGGTTCACATTTATGTGCGATTTACAGGTTAGCATGGTCAGACATTCAATTATCTCAAATATCTCAGAGTTTCCTTTTGTAGGGGTGTATAGGTAGATAACTTTCGTAGTTATTAAAACTCAACTAAAGCTAGCTGGCCACATATTCATTCAAGTAATTTTGTTGAAGAAAACTCTCTTAATGATTAAAAACTCGATTAAAATTACCTGGCCATATATTCAATCAAGAAAATCTGTTTAAATATTCTTAAATGGTTTAAACCATAAAAAGAGATGTTTAGATCAGTTGTTTTTCTGTTAGATTTATGAAATTTCATATAATTAGCTATCAGGGTTCATATTTATTTGCAATTTACAGGGTAGCATGGCCAGACATTGAATTCTTAAATATCTCAGAAAATTCCCTTTTGTAGGGGTTTATAGGTAGAAAACTCTCGTAGTTATTGCAACTCTATTAACCCTTAACTACAGACCACCGGTAATTGTTACCGGTTATATAAAACACATAAAATTTCTGTAAAACAATTGGAAAATTTGTTTAATATATGTCTGTTATATATTTTTTGTATATCAAGATCTTGAAAAAGTTTTAAAACTATTTACTTTTATAAAACCGCGCATTTTTTTAAACAAAATACATTCAGTTATCCCCGAAATTGAAAAATCGTAAATGCTTACCGCTAAAAAATACCGGTCATCTGTAGTTAAGGGTTAAAGCTAGCTGGCCACACATTCATTCAAGTAATTTTGTTGCTTTGGTTAAACATTTGAAAAAAGGTGTAATCCATTAAAAAATGGCCACACATTCAACCAAGTAAATCTGTTTGTTTAATAATTGTAAATGATCTACCCCCTTAATCTCTTAATAATTAATAAATCTACTAAAGCTAACTGGCCACACATTTAATGAAGTGAATATGTGGTTATGTTTATTATATATTGAATAGAGATATGTAAAAGTTCTATTGGGAAATTGATATGTCAAAAATTTTAAAAAAGGTTTTTTTTTAACCCTTTAAATGATTTACAATTCAGTTAAAGCTAGCTGGCCACACATTCAATCAAGTAAATCTGTGGTCGTGTTTAAAAATTGTAAATGGCCAAATATATTTAATAGAGATATGTTAAAATTCTATTCTAATGCAGAACAATTTTTATATTGTATAGCATTACCATTAGGAAATTGATATGTCAAAAAGGTTTTTTTTTAAACTCTCTTAATGATTAAAAATTCAGTTAAAGCTACCTGCGGCCACTCATTCAATCAAGTAAATCGTGGTTATGTTTGATAATTGTAAATGGTATACTCCTTTAATCTCGTAATAATTAATAAATCTACTACAGCTAGCTGGTCACACATTGAATCAAGAAAATCTGTTATTATTGTAATGTTTAGTAAATCTATTGAAGCTAGCTGGTCACACATTCAATCAAGCAAATCTGTTGTTAAGTTTAAAAATTGTAAATGGCCAAATATATTTAATGGAGATATGTAAAAGTTCTATTCTAATGCAGTACAATTTTTATATTGTATAAGGTACCATTAGGACATTGATATGTCAAAAATATTTTTTATAAGTTTTCTTATAAAACAATAATCGCAGGGTATTATTTTATGCCGTTTTTAACAATTTTTATAATTTTGAATAACTTTTCATTCAAAATTTTCATTTTCAAAATTGGTTTGACAGTTCATTGTCCGAGCAGCTGTGTCGATGCGACTATCTGTATTAGTATGTATCAGTCTACATATGACCAAATTAGAATTATCTTTTCCTTAAAGGTGAGGATACATAAAACGCTCTCCTGACTGGCTTATGTCATCGGCTGGCTTCTTCGGAAAATAACAAAAGAGCGTAGGACCAAAATCAATCTAAGTCAACCTTAAACTCTTTTGTTCCTCTACTCTAAGAAACCAGCTGATGACTTAAACTAGTCAAAAAAGCGTTTTATGTATACTCACCTTAAGAAAGACTCATCCATTTCTTTCGTAGTTTGCGTAGTGAATTATTGAATTGAACTACTTTCTTTGTGAATTAAACCAAAAGACAAGACAATTGGGTGCATGTTATTATAATAAAATACAACTCTGGTTGGAGACAATTTGTCTTGTGTAAACACAAGTCGATAACATTTTAAAAAAGTTCCAAAATATACTTCTGGACACAGTAGAATCAAGAAGGTAGCTCATTCACTTTTTTGACGAAATTATTTTTTTACCAACATCTAATTGTCAAAATGTGTATTCATAAATTTATTCTGTACACACAAATCACAGATGGGAACTTGCTTTTGCTAAAGTCAAATTTGACAGGTACATTATAGAAAATTGTAGGGTATGCTAATTTGAAATGAGACTGACTTGAATTAATTGTACCATGTAAATTCACTGTTGGTTTTTATTAATCCCAGTTCCATATATTTTCAAAATTTGTGGAAAATATTTTCGAATATTGTGAAATAACAAATAATATAATTTAATGTGTGGCCGGTTGGTTTTGGTGAAGTTTTTCTCTGTGTGTACCCAGTATTAGATACCTTTCATATAAGTAGCTAAGTATTGTTCTTTTCCAGAACCTGTAAGAATCCACTAGTTTAGCTTTTTTCGATATCATAAAGGGAAAATCGGTTATCGTAGTAAAAATTTTTACATTCTTGCAATTCTGGAACAGACCATGATAGAATCAATGCAACACAACTCACCGGTTTTTCTCATCTTTAAATTTTATAGCTGGTTTACATATAGATTTTTTGCAAATATTTAATAGTGACATATACCAATCACAATAAGCTTACTCAAATTTATTGTGATTGATCAATTGTCAAAATTAATCCTGAAAAAATATATGTAAATGTACTTTTAGATTAAATTCAGCTGATCATCAGATGTTTAAAAGCCGTAAACAAAGGTTTTAAAATGTCAATTCCATGGAGAAATAATAAGGCGCTACACCAATCAGACAAAATGTCATAATGTGTTTACGGTTTGTTTATCTTTTTTTGTACTGTGATTTCAATAACAATAAGTGTTTTGACAACTCACCTAGATGATCAGCTGTGTATATGTCAAGCGAAATCCACGGGATTTAAGATTTGACATTTACGCAATGCCACTGAAAATTGAAATCCACGAAATCTATTATATGTAAACAAACCATCAGTCTGGTAATCAGCTGATCATGATTTCTCTTTAGAATGCATGGCAGAAGAATATAGGTAGACGCATCGACCCAGCTGCTGGGACAATGAACTGTCAAACCAATTTTGGAATTGAAAATGTTGAATGAAAAATTATTTAAGTTTGAAAAAATGTTGAAAAACGTGAATTATAATAACCTTCGAATGACGTCGTATAAGAAAAAAACATTTAAAATTTTTGACATATCAATATATCCAAACGTTGATGATGCATCTACCTGTATTCTTCTACCATGTAATCAGCTGATCATGATTGCTTGCTTACTTTCTCTTAACAACGTTTCTCTCTCCCTCTTCCCCTTAAACAACGTTTACATGATTACTTTTGAAAAATGAATTTACAACCATATGACCATTTAATGCTTAAAATCAATGCCAAAAGAGTATAGTTAGTTGCGATAAGGTAAAATTGAATCATAATTTCCAAATTATATGATGTATGCATGGTAGAATCAAGAAGGTAGGGTCATGTAGTCACATGTTTACATTTTTTTTTAAAAATTATTCATTTGACAACATTTTATTGTCAAAATTTGAAATTTAAAAATCCATTGTACAGAGATTGGAACCTGTTCTTATGTAAAGAAATGTGACAAGGTAAATTACAGAAAATGCAGAGATGGGTATGCTTTTTTTTGAAATGACTTTACCTTCTTAATTTTGCCATGAATGTATGTTTGATTTTAGCTCTCTTCTTTGCCTCATTGAAGTTAATTCTCGTCAACAGTTTTATTTTTATTATTATTTTTTCTATTTTGTAAATTGTATTATATTAATGTGTAGATTTTATTTTGTTAAACAAAATTTTTCATAATTTAAAATTAGTCAAGTCAAGCGAAACAAAAAAACTAAAAATAAAAATTCAAAAAAAAAAAAAAAAAACAAACACCCGGGCCAAATGTAGTTAACTCCAAATTGTTTAAGGCTTGGATATTGATCAGTTTTATAAAAATATATATTTTTTTGGGTGAACTACAAAACAATGTAATTTTGTATTTTTTTTTTTTGCATTTTATATTATATATAGTAAGATGTATTAGTAATAATTAAAAACGCGCAAATTTTATTTTTTGTAAAATATTTTTCTAGTTTTCCAAATTATATACAAATGTCATATTTTTTGTGATTTTGTCATTGCATTTTTTTGTCGCAAAATCAAAGCCAAAGTTAAATTAGAGTGCCTCCATAGAAAAAATTTTCAAAAAAATAATATAAAAAATAACGAAAAAACAACAAAACAGCAGCATGCTTGCTAAGTTTTACATTAAAATATAAATTAAATTTACACCTACTGCATTCGTACATAAATACATATTTATAGTATGTATAAATAGTAGCTATATGTAATAACAGAACTCTTAAGAAAGAATCGAAACAAAAACAAAAAAACACATTTCCCCAATCTCTGCCTCCCTCCCTCCACACAAAGTGCAAATCTCTATGCAATCTCTCTTTACAGTCCATCCATCAATTTCCCCCTGGCCCTTACCAAAAAAAAAGAAAAAAAAAAAACAAAAGCCCCCCAGTGTTATTTTTAGTGCCTGTCGCCTTTTATGCGTTAAAGAAGAAAACAAAAACTCGAAATAAAAAAAATTATGATATTTTGGACAGATGTGTCAGATAAATGTTGTTAACGTGGCTGGAACGAACCACATATGCACACAGATGTGCGTATGTTTATATTTTAAACAGCCAGAAAATCAAATAAATAGAAATGAATTTTATCCAACTCCTCCTCCTCCTCCCTCGCCATCTCCAACAACAAATCTAATCTTTTGTGCAACAACAACCCCCCCACCCTCACACTTCCCCAACTTCCTGAAAACATTAATGTGTGTATGTGGATGTAAACACATAATATTTGATTTAAAAAAAACGAACAACAACAAATACCATAGATCAACAACAATACTCCAAGAAAATCTGTTATATAGTTTAAATACTTCCAAATAAGACTATTTAATTCATTAAAAACAACAAAAACCAACAACAAACCAGCTGTATCGAATATAGATGAATCTCTCTCTCTTAAGACACTGAAATTAAAAATGCAACAAAACCAAAACAAATTAAATAAAGAAATATTACAAATAAAACGATAAAAATAAAAAAATAATGTTGTTTTATTTTAGATGAAAACATGGCAACCCTATATGTTGTGGAAAGTCCGCTGAAAGAGAATACAGTGGGAGAGAGACGCTTTACATCAAACTTGTGCAGATTACAAACCAAACTCATTGCATCCCTTCATTGGGCGCCACTATCTAGAGTTGGCCTTTTTTCAAAAAAAAAAAAAAAAAAAAAAAAAAAAACAAGTAAAAAAAGTGTAAGTTTGGACGGACCGAACTTTGAATACTCTCCACCATTTGGTACAAATTTGGCAATTTTCAAAAAAATAAAATCCCTTAAAAATTATGTTAAAATCTTAAAAATACCGAATGTAGCCATATATTAGTATCTATACGATGACGTGGAACTGCATAGGCGACTTTTGTCACAAGCTATTACAATATTCAAATGCGAAACTTGAAAAAAATCTGTTTATAAGGTAGCCCAAAATCATAAAAATACCGAATATAGAGGCACCATGGGGGTTATAAAACATGAACCTGCAAAGACAATTTTCTGTCATAGGCTGTAGTATTTATTACGAACTTCAAATACCAAATTTGAAACAATTCCGGTGAAAAATGTCCCAAAACCAATCAAAATACCAAATATCGGGAGGTACCGTTATATGGAGACTATACCAAAACGTGGACCTATACATGCGATGTTTCGCCACACAAACTAGGACCCATTATGACCAACAAATACCAATATTCAGACAAATCCGTAAAAAAATGTGGCAAAAACTATCAAAATACGGAATATCGGGAGGTACCGATACATGGGGGCTATACTAAAGCGTGGACCTATGCATACAATGACTCGCCACACGAACTAGGACCCATTATAACCTACAAATCCGTGAAAAAATGTGGCAAATAACATCAAAATACCGAATATCGGGAGGTACCGTTATATGGGGGCTATAGCAAATAGTGGACTTATGCATGCAATGTTTCGCCACCGGAGCTAGAAACCCAATATAACCTACAAATATCAATTTTCAGAAAAATCCGTAAAAAAAATGTGGCAAAAATCATCAAAATACCGAATATCGGGAGGTACCGTTATATGGAGACTATGCCAAAACGTGGACCTATACATGCAATGTTTCGCCACCGGAGCTAGAAACCCAATATAACCTACAAATATCAATTTTCAGAAAAATCCGTAAAAAAATGTGACAAAAATCATCAAAATAACGAAAATCGGGAGGTACCGTTTTATGGAGGCTATACCAAAACATGGATCGAAATATCTCATTTTCAATACCAACCATCCTAGACATAATACAAATTGTTCTTCCAAAATTTTGAAGTTCTACGTCAAATAATGTGGGCTGTATCGTGATTTCAACATCGTAAAATTGGTTGGGCGCCAATTTAGATTACATTTTCTGTCACAGGCTGTGGCATCCATTACGGAATTCAAATACGAGATCTCAAAAAATTTCGATGGGTATTGTACTTAAACTCGTCAAAATACCGAATATAGAGGTACCATGGGGGTTATAAAACGTGGACCTGCAAAGACAATTTTCTTTCACAGACTGTAGTTCCCATTACGAACTCTAAATACGTAATTTGAAACAATTCCGATGAACAGTGATGCTAAAATCATCAAAATATTGGTTGGTACCGTTATATAAGGGCTATACGAAGACGTGGACCTGCACAGACAATTTTCTGTCTTAGGCTGTAGTATCCCTTTGGAACTTCAAATACCAAATTTGAAACAATTCCGGTAAATAATGTCGCTAAAATCATCGAAATACTGAATATAGGGAGGTACCATTATATGGGGGCTATATGAAAACGTGGACCTGCACAGACAATTTTCTGTCTTAGGCTGTAGTATCCAATACGAACTTCAAATAACAAATTTAAAACAATTCCGTTGAATAATGGCGCTAAAATCATCAAAATACCGAATATAGGGAGGTACCGTTTTATGGGGGGCTGAACAAAGACCTGGATCTGCACACACAATTTTATGTCATAAGCTGTAGTATCCATTACGAACTTCAAACACATTATTCCGGTAAATAATGCCGATAAAATCATCAAAATACCGAATATCGGGAGGTACCGCTATATGGGGGGATATACGAAGACGTGGACCTGCACAGACAATTTTCTGCCATAGGCTGTAGTATCCATTGCGAACTTCAAATACGTAATTTGAAACAATTCTGGTGAATAATGGCGCTAAAGTCATCAAAATACGGAATATTGGTTGGTACCGTTATATAAGGGCTATACAAAGACGTGGACCTGCACAGACAATTTTCTGTCTTAGATTGTAGTATCCCTTTTGAACTTCAAATACCAAATTTGAAACAATTCCGGTTAACAATGTCGCTAAAATCATCAAAATAACGAATATCGGAGGTATCGGGGCTATACGAAGACGTGGACCTACATGGCCCATTTTCAATACCAAAAGTCCTGAAGACAATATACATTTGAGCAAAATTTTATCAATCTACTTCAATTCGTTCGGAAGCTAGAGTGATTTCCACAGACGGATAGACGGACGGACATAGCTAAATCGACATCGAATTTTATGCTGATCAAGAATATAAGTATATATGGAATTTAATATGTATATTTTGAGGTGTTACAATCGGAATGATAAACTTAATATACCCTCCAAACTATGGTGGAGGGTATAAAAACTATAGCGCTTCCTTAAGTTTAAAGGTTCTTGGCCACGCCTAAAATTCTGCTTCAAATTTGGTAATTACAAAATGTAAACAAAATCACTTTACATATGACACTAACACGATGTGGAGTCTAACCTTTACCTGTGGTTTACCCAAGACAAATGTAAACAACATTTTTGGCTTTTACACATAAAACACAATGTGTTTTAAGGGAGATTTCGTTCAGAACCTACTTTTTTGCCATTTATATATTACTTTTATGTTTGAAAATATTATTATTTTTTTGTTTGAATTTTTAAAATGATTCTTAAAATTTCAAATTCACATTTGACATTTGATACACATGTGACCATGTTTTGGCAATACCATTTCAATACTGGGCGAATAACACATACATATGTATGTTCACATTTGGCATTTTTCTCCAATGATTTCGAAACAGTAATTATAATTTTGTTCACATTAAAAATTCTCAACGCAATGTGTCTTTAGCGATCGTTGAAATGCCTGGCGTCGAATTGCATTCCAATCAAATGATATTGAAATGATGTAAAAATTCTCAAGTCTTTGTTTTGAAATGAAATAGAATGAATTCTGGTGCTGCTGCTGCTGCTGTTACAAATGAGTTACGTGATGTTTAGCGGAAACACCTGTGTCAAATGGAGTCCCTGTTGTCTGTCTGACCGGCTGGCTGGCTGCTTGTCACACAATAAACCGCAAAAGCCATTAACTGGTTATAGTCACGATTTGAAATGCAGGGGATTAAACGTTTCGTTTCATCAGCCAATTTAAAATGCATTTAATCAGGTAGCCCTTAGAGTGGTGTTTAATGATTTCGAAATGGAATCTTTGCTCTTTTTTTGTTTTTGAAAAAAGTGTCATTGCTACCCATTTTGGGGAGTTTAGTTTGGAATAAACTTAATATAGATTGAGGGCCAAAGATTCAAGATTATCCGTTTCTTGCCTACATAAAAGTAGTTGCAACTTGCTAAAAATCATCATTTTTTCATGTCACAAGGCCACATATCAAATCGACTTGAATGAATTTATTTTTGGGCGAAATGGTATTTAGAACTTCTTTGTTATTTTTACATACCAAAGCTTCACACACGACCCTCGTAGAACTTAAATTGATCGTAAAAATTAAGCAATTTTTTTTTTTGGCAAAATTGTTTTGAGACATAATGAAAATTTGCATTTTCTATAAATGTCCCAACAAACATTTTTAATAAGACCTACCGGAGATTTAATGGGAAATTTAATAACTGTGAGTTATTTTCATGGAGCGACACCTGTACGTCATGTAAAAGTGAAACTCTTCTTCGTATAGGAACAAAGCAAAGACATAAAAGTATAAAGATGGGACAAGACAGAGTCAAAATATGGCAACCATGTGAAAATACCTCTGTTGTTATGATATCGTAACAACATAGCATGGTAGAAGAATACAGGTAGACGCGTCGACACAGCTGCTTGGACAATGAACTGTCAAACCAATTTTGGAATTGAAAATGTTGAATGAAAAACTATTTAAATTTGAAAAATTTTTGAAAAAAGGCTAATTATAATAACCTCCGAATGACGTAGTATAAGAAAGCATATAAAAATCTACTTATTTTTAAAAAAACATTTAAATTTTTTTGACATATCAATGCTTCCAAGCGTTGATGCATCTACCCGTATTCTTCTGCCATGCAACATAGTTAGCAATGTTATAGTACGTTTATATATATGAGGGTTAACCCACTAGATTTGGATTTAAACTGTCATATCCATTACTTTTACTTCAAATAAATCCTCTCAAAGTAGGTTAACCCTACAAAAAGTTCTAACGTAAACATGGCATTAGGTGATTTAAACCGCTTAGGCGATATGGAATTAATTGGGAAAGTCTATGGAATAGAATTTTCAAATCCTATTTTTGGATTTTTCAAACTTTTATTTGTCATTTTTTTCTATAAATGTGGTATTTATATTAACATGGCCCTGTCATGAGCTGTTATTCTAGAGAGTATAGACACAAACCATCTACTCAGAATGCATTTTGTCTAGTCTTGAACAAATGAGTTTTAGGTTGATTTAGTTCGATTTTGGTCTAACGATCATTCCTTGTATCCTCCACCATAGTATGGAGGGTATATTAAGTTTGTCATTTCGTTTGTAAAACCTCGAAATATACATTTTAGACCCCACAAAGTATATATATTCTTGATCAGCATAACATTTTATGTCGATTTAGCTATGTCCGTCCGTCTATCCGTCTGTGCGTCTATGGAAATCACTCTAGCTTCCGAACGAAATGAAGTAGATTGATAAAATTTTACTCAAATGTATACTATGTCTGCAGGACTTTTGGTATTGAAAATTGGACATGTAGTTTCACGTCTTCCTATAGCCTCCATATAACGGTGCCTCCCGATATTCGGTATTTTGATGATTATAGCGACAATATTCATCGGAATTGTTTCAAATTTGGTATTTAAAGTTCGTAAGAAATACTACGGCTTAAGACAAAAAATTGGCCATGTAGGTCCACGTCTTCGTATAGCCTCCACATAACGGCACCTTCCGGTATTCGGTATTTTGATGATTATAGCGACAATATTCATCGGAATTGTTTCAAAATTAATATTTGAAGTTCGTAATGGATACTACAGCCTATGACAGAAAATTGTCTGTGCAGGTTCACGTCTTCGTATACCCCCCCATATAGCAGTACCTCCCGATATTCGGTAGTTTGATGATTTTAAGGACAATATTCATCTGAATTGTGTCAAATTTGGTATATGAAGTTCGTAATACGTACTACAGCATAAAACAGAAAATAGGCCGTGTAGGTCCACGTCTTCGTGTAGCCCCCATATAACGGTACATCCCGATATTCGGTATTTTGATGATTTAAGCGACATTATTTACCGGAATTGTTTTAAATTTGGTATTTGAGGTTTGAAATAGATACTACAGCCTATAACAGAAAATTGTCTGTGCAGGTCCACGTCTTCATATAGCCCCCATATAAAGGTACCTCCCGATATTCGGTATTTTGATGATTTTAGCGACACTATTTACCGGAATTGTTTCAAATTTGGTATTTGAAGTTCGTAATGAATACCACATCCAAGGAGAGAAAATGAGCCAATTAAGTCCACGTCTTCGTATAGCCCCCATATAACGGTACCTACCGATATTCGGTATTTTGATGATTTTAGCGGCAATATTCATCGGAATTGTTTCAAATTTGGTATTTGAAGTTCGAAATGGATGCTACAGCCTAAGACAGAAAATTGTCTGTGCAGGTCCACGTCTTCGTATAGTCCCCATATGACGGTACCTCTCGATATTCGGTATTTTTATAATTTTAGCTACATTATTCACCGATTTTTTTTCAAGTGTCGCATTTGAATATTGTAATTGCTTATGACAAATGTTACCTATGCAGGTCCATGTCGTCGTAGAGACCCTAACATAACAGCTACATTCGGTATTTTTAAAATTTTAATAGAATTTTAAACGGATTTTATTGTTATTGAGAATCGAGAATCGTCCCAAATGGTGGAGGATATTCAAAGCCGAACATACAGCTTGTTCACTTGTTTCTTTTCAAAAAAGCCAGCCGATGGCTTAAGTCAGTCGAAAAAGCGTTCTATGTATTCTCACCTTTAATAGTACCATGAATATAATTTTTTTTTTTTTTTTGAAAATTGTAAAATATCGTTCACTGGGTTTAAAATCAATAAAATTTAACTTAAAACCCACACATACGCCGCCGTTATGCACAATTTGCCAATAAACACCATAGACAAATGAAAATATAGACAACGAAATGCTCTCACCGTTTATCTTCGAAAAAAATCGAATCAGCAGATGTCGTTCATATCGTTTCAGGGGTTTGAGTGGGAATATTGAAGTCACTCAATTCTAAAACGTTAAAAATAACAAAAACTGTAGGATATTTGCCAGTTGAAAATTATTTCATAATAAAAGAAATGTGAAAAGTACGTGATGACATCGAAAAATATAGGAATATTCCAGTGAAATTCTTGAAAAACGATAAAATGTGTTTTCGTAGTCGAGTGGCTTGAACGCGTAAATCAGCATGTTGACTATGCAAAACAAGATGAGAGCCACCTGGAAAAAAAGACAAAACTAACTTTTCGTTGTCTATATTTTCATTTGCCTATGTAAACACCAATGATTGAGTACAACACGGTACCGCAATACTTAACTGAACAATTGACACTCTTTCGCTCTCATCTCAACTCAGGTGATACTGTTTTGTAGAACAATCTGAATAAACAACAAATGTGAGAAATGTGGGGGAGAAAAATATAACGGTGTGTGTGTGCGGTTGTTTACATTTTTCCAACAGTGTGGTGTAAAAGTTTTTTGTATAATATGCCACTAGTCATACTTGAATATGAAAATAAAGGGTAAGATAAAAGAACTGCAACAAAGTCAAACGTCATAATTTTTTAAATTTTTTTTAAATTTCATTGAATGAAGTCAAAAAATGTCGGAAATAGCATCAAATTTTAGAATAAGTCTAGATGTCGTACGAGTTACTTAGAAATTACAGCAGTCTGAATTGGGTTGCAGTTTTTTGCTCTCACCCAGTAGTTTGTATTTGGATAATGTTGCCATATTCCATATTTAGCAAATAGACCTACTTTTATTATTTTACCATGGCAAATTTTTAGGAAAGGGGTTTTAATATTGCCACATGTGAAATGTTAAAATTATTGGTCATCATCTAAATTTTGTTGCCGCTCTTTCGATTGTCAGGAAAAGGGAATTTTGCAAACTATTCCCTTGGATACATGTTGCCAGTCTTGTTGGCGGCTTTTCGCTGCCAGCCAGCCGCTGACATCTGTAGAGATAAAACAAAAAAAAAAAAAAAAAAAAAACAAGTAAAAATGCTGTAAGTTCGGCCGGGCCGAACTTTGAATACCCTCCACCATTTGGTACAAATTTGGCAATTTTCAAAAGCAATAAAATCCGTTAAAAATTCTGTTAAAATTTTAAAATTACCGAATATAGCTATTATATTAGGGTCTATATGACGACATGAACCTGCGTAGGTAACATTTGTCATAAGCCATTACAATATTCAAATGCGAAACTTAAAAAAAAATCTGTTATAATGACGAAAAAATTAAAATACCGAATATCTGGAGGTACCATGAGGGTTATAAAACGTGGAACTGTACAGACAATTTCCTGTTGCAGGCTGTAGTATCCAATACGAAATTTAAATGCGAAATTTGAAACAATTCCGGTAAATAATGTCGCTACAATCATAAAAATACCGCATGCTGTACCTACAGTTATATGGGCGCTATACGAAGACGTGGACCTACATGGCCCATTTTCTGTCTTAAGCCGTAGTACCTATTACGAACTTTAAGTACCGATTTTGAAACAATTCCGGTAAATAATTTCGCCAAAATCATCTAAATACCGAATATCGGGAGGTACCCTTATATGGGGGCTATAGGAAGACGTGGACCTGCACAGACAATTTTCTGTCATAGGCTGTAGTATCTATTACGAACTTCAAATACCAAATTTTGAAACTATTCCGGTAAATAATGTCGCTACAATCATCAAAATACCGCATATCGGGAGGTACTGTTATATGGGGGCTATACGAAGACGTGGATCTACATGGCCCATTTTCTGTTTTATGCTGTAGTATCTATTACGAACTTCAAGTACCAATTTTAAAACAATTCCGGTAAATAATGTCTCTAAAATCGTCAAAATACCGAATATCGGGAGGTACCGTTATATGGGGGCTATACGAAGACGTTGACCTACGTAGCCCATTTTCTGTCTTAAGCCGTAGTATCTATTGCGAACTTTAAGTGCCAAATTTGAAACCATTCCGGTAAATAATGTCGATAAAATCATCAAAATACCGCATATCGGGGGGTACGCTTATATGGGGGCTATACGAAGACGTGGACCTGCACAGACAATTTTCTGTCTTAAGTCGTAGTATCTATTAAGAACTTTAAGTACCAATTTTGAAACAATTCCGGTAAATAATGTCGCTAAAATCATCTAAATACCGAATATCGGGAGGTACCGTTATATGGGGGCTATACGAAGACGTGGACCTGCACAGACAATTTTCTGTCTTATGCTGTAGTATCCATTACGAACTTCAAATGCAATATTTGAAACAATTCCGGTAAATAATGTCGCCACAATCATCTAAATACCGAATATCTGGAGGTACTGTTATATGGGGGCTATATCAAAACGTGAACCTACATAGTCCATTTTCAATACCAAAAGTCCTGCAGACATAATGTACATTTGAGTAAAATTGTATCAATCTACTTCAATTCGTTCGGAAGCTAGAATGATTTCCACAGACGGACGGACATTGTTAAATCGACATAGAATTTGTGGGGTCTAAAATGTATATTTCGAGGTGTTACAAACGGAATGAGAAACTTAATATACCCTCCATAGTATGGAGGACAACAACATTTAAAACTGCCAACTACCTACAATTTATACTCCGATCATATGTGGCTAGTCGACGTTCTCATTCCCCATATCTCTTTGACTACGTATCTACATGCTTATGTTTGTGTGTATGTATGTAGATATCACTATTGCCACAGCACACTCTAGTAGTGAAGGAGTACTCTAAATCGTCTTATTGGCGCAATTACAATTTAGTTGAATTCTGTTAGAGCGAACGACGAGTACGGCCACAACGTATAACGTATTTTTGTTTTTTTGGTCGAACATTTACAGAATGCATTTTCTATTGAAGGTGTCAGGGAGAAAATTGGATTAGTTAAATACGTGAGTGATATCGAGTGAGTGACCGATTGGCAAAATTGATTATTTCTTTCAAAAGTGTTGACAAAAAAAAAATTGAAAATTGAAAATATCAACACCACACCTGACAGTGTAATAATGAGCTCAAAATACTAAATGAGTGACGATGGCGACCGGGCTGGCGCTATTCTGATCGATCGATAATGTAACGATTTGAAAAAAAAAACGAATACAAATTTATTTTGAATTTAAAACAACAAATGCGAAAATAATTTGCATACGGATCGTGAATAGCTTGTGTGTGTGTTTTGTTTTATTGTTGTTTTACATTTTTTTTTGTAAACGAATGGTGCTCCAAGTGTAAAATAAACAAAAACATGAAAATAATACAAAATTAATTAGTTAATGATGAGGGGCTAATAAAAATAAATATTTGTTTTTCTATGTCTCTCAATGTCACAAAAAAAGTGTTGGCAAAAAATGCAAATTAGTTTTTTTAAACAAAACAAAAATTATTTTCATGCTTTAAAAATATTAAAAATGAAAATTGTGAAAAATTGAAAATTGTAAAATTTAATAATAAATTACAAAACGAAAAATTATTTTCCCACTATTTTAGCAAACAAAAATCACATAACAGCAAAAAAATTGAGGAAAAAAAATTGAAAAAAAAAATTATACGAAAATTACCCAGAATATGACCCAGAATACAATGAGACAAATCGCAAATAAGCAAACTTGGCTTTTAAGCGTATTTATTTGCCTAGTTTTAGGATTTATTAGCAATGGTAAGTGTTAAAATTAGCCATCAGTTCATAATTAAAGATATAACAATGTATGCCAGCACACTCTCGCACACACACACTGACACATAATCGCCACAAGATAACGCACATTTTCTTCTTTGCTTCTTTACCCGCAAGTGTACTCATGTGGTCTTGTAAAGGCCAGGCTACTCAGCCAGCCAACCAGCATTACAACAACAAATGCAAAAAAAGAACAACATGCAAGATTTCACATCTAGAACACTAACACCAAGCAAATCTGTATTACTCATGCCACTCTCTCTCCCACTCTCTGGCCGCGGATGATGAGCACAACATCCTCAGTTGTTTAGATTGCTTGGCACTCATTATCATCGTCGGCATCCTAACATCACTGGCACCATACATACATATTATATCATCTTTAAAGGGCAACAGGGGTCCAGGGTTGCCAATGCATTTTTGTTTCGTAGTTTCCTAGGAAAAAATGTTAAACTTTGCTTTTTCCCATGGCAGAAGAATACAGGTAGATGCATCAACGCTTGGGATCATTGATATTAAAAAAAAAAAATTAAATGTTTTTTCAAATATAAGTAGATTTTTATATGTTTTTTATACTACGTCAGTCAGAGGCTATTATAATTCGCGTTTTCAAAAATGTTTAAAAATTTAAATAATTTTTCATTCAACATTTTCAATTCCAAAATTGGTTTGACAGTTCATTGTCCCAGCAGCTGTGTCGACGCGTCTACCTATATTCTTCTACCATGCTTTTTCCTAAAGACTCTTTCAGACGATATGTCAAATTTTCCATAGTTAGGGTGGAAATATATAAAATGCATATTTGGCTGGCTTAAGTCATCGGCGGTTTTAATCGCTTAACATTGCTACTATGTTATGTTGTTACGATATCATAACAAAAGTGCTACTTTCACAGGGTTGCCATATCTTGACTCTGCCTTGTCCCATCTTTATACTTCTATGTCATTGAACAAAAGAGTTATAGGTTGACTTAGTTCGATTTTCTCCCTAGGCTCCTTTGTTTATTTTCGAAGAAGCCAGCCGTTGACTTAAGCCAGCCAGATAAGCGCTTTATGTATTCCCACCTTTGAACAGCAGAAAAGAAATTTTCCTAAAGACGATAAAATGCTGGGGTGCTCAAAAACAAGAACTCGCCCATCATTCCAATTTCTCATTGATTTTTAAATAATCGAAAAACCAGTGTTAAAATATTTTTTTTAATTTTTTTAGATTCATTTTATTAATAATTTTTTGGGCAACATCCAAGCTTAAAAACAATTGAAATAAATGAATTAATATAAAGAACTTTGGACTCATGTGCTATCACACGGTTTGAGCAGTGCTGATATAATGTCAAATTTTCCATACGTAGATGTTGTATATATCGTGTGATACATGGATGACATTTCAGTTGTGAAATACATGAGTATAGAACGTACGTACTTTTTCACACACATCGAGCCCTATTTTCCTCGGAAAGATATTATTTTATGAGAAATACTGTGTTTTTATATTTAAAATTAAATTTGCCGTAAAGTGTCATCCATAAAGTATTATAATTTTTGAAACAATACAATATAATCACACTGTAACCAAAGAAAATAAAAAAAACTTATGCAAGTGTGTGATAGCAAGAATTATGAGTCATATGTAAAATGGTAATTTTGACATAGACACGAAAACACACATGGATAATAAAAGTGACAGCGAGAATACATAAAACGCTTATTTGATTGGATTAAATCATCGATTGGCTTCTTGAAAAAAAAGACAAAGGAACTTAGCAAACCTAAAACTCCTTTGTTCCTCTACGAAGAAGCCAACCGAATTTTTATCAACTGAAAGAAACTTACACCATGCCGAACAGAAGTTTTCGTAAAGGTTCTATCAGACGAAAAGTTTTTATATGCATAATGTCAAATTTTCCATATGTAGAATATGGTAAAGTACGTACGTACTTTTATGATCACAGCGAGCCCTATTTTCATTGGAAAGCATAACATATGCAAGTGTGTAATAGCAAATATTATGAGTCATATCTAAAATGACAATTTTGATATATACACATGTATATGGATAATAAAAGTTACAGCACATATGTAAAACCTCTATCGTCTGATAGAAGTTTAAACCGTGCCGAACATAAGTTTTCCTAAAGGCACTATCAGACGAAATGTTTTTACCATGGTAAAATTAAGAAGGTAAAGTAATTTGAAATTAGCATACCCATCTCTGCATTTTCTGTAATTTACCTTGTCACATTTTACTACATAAAAACAGGTTCCCATCTCTGATTTGAGTATGTACAATGGATTTATAAATAAACATTTTGACAATGAGATGTTCTCAAATGAGAAATATTTTAAAAAATTGTAAACAAATGATTGCATAACTTTACCTCCTTGATTGTACCATGGTTTTTTACATACATAATGTCAAATTTTTCATATGTAGAACATTATAAATTACGTACCATGGCTCAATCAGAATCATGCCATGTATGGAGTTAGATGCATTAACGTTTTGGAACATTAAAATGTCAACATTTTTAAAATTTTGTTTTTTTTTTTTTTTTTTTCAAAAATAAGTAGATTTTTATGCGTTTTCTTATACGATACCAACATTATAATTATAATTAAATTATAAATTATATAATTTACATTTTATAAAATATCTTACTAATTTGAATAATTTTTCATTCAAAAATAAGTAGATTTGTATATGTTTTCCTATACGACGCCAATTGGAGTTTGTTATGATTTTCAACAATTTTTACAAAGTTTGAAAAATTTTTCATTCAAAAATTTCAATTCCAAAATTGGTTTGACAGTTCATCGTCCTAGCAGCTGCGTCGATGCCACTAACTGTACCATGGTTTTTATATTCAGCATCGGAATTAAACAAAATCCGGTCATGAGAACCCTATTAAGTCAGGCTGAATAGTAAATACCATGGCAGAAGAATACAGGTAGATGGATCAAATCTTGGGAGCATTGATATGTCATAAAATTTAAATGTTTTTTTCAAATATGAGTAGATTTTTAAATGTTTTCTTAAACGACGTCATTCGGAAGTTATTATAATTCGAGTTTTTTTTAACAATTTCTACAAATTTTAATAATTTTTCATTCAACATTTTCAATTCCAACCTTAAGGTATTTACCATGGTAGAGGAATACGGGTAGACGCATCGACACAGCTGCTAGGACAATGAACTGCCAAACCAATTTTGGAATGGAAAATTTTGAATAAAATATTATTTAAATTTGTAAAATTTGTTGAAAACCCCGAATTATAATAACCTCCGAATGACGTCGTATAAGAAAACATATAAAAATCTAATTATATTTGAAAATACATTTTTTTGACATATCAATGTTCCCAAGGTTTGATGCATCTACCTGTATTCTTCTACCATGACGTGGAATGGACATGGTAAATTTAAGAAGGTAAAGCCACTTCAAATAAAAATATCTATCTCTGCATTTTCTGTTGTCAAATGTCACTGCATACAAAACAGGTTCCTATCTCTGATTTCTGTATATGCAATAAATTTGTAAATAAAAATTTTGACAATGAGATGTCATATGAATCATTTCGAAAAAATTGTAAACATATATAAATCTAAACGTTCTTTTAAGACCAATTAAAACCCTAAAATCCTATTTAACTCATTTGAATATGGATTTATATTATGTGAATTCCCAATCATTTACCACCGTTACAGCATCCCGAAAATCACCAATGGCAACCCTAGCAAACCACTCACTCATCACTCTTCCTCTCACACTTGCTGCTGCTGCTGCTGCACTTGGCCCTCTTCATGGGGAAAGAAAATAAATAGAAATGTTGTTGGTTGCTGTTTTGACTTTTACATCAAGACGTCAACAATAGAAAACAAAACAAACAAAAAAAACTGCAAAACAATAATAAAACACTTTCGGTTTTCATTAGAAAATATTTTTACACAAAAAACAACAACTGAGAAAAGGAAAAAAAACAATAAGAAAAAATTACATAAAAATAAAATTAAATAAAAATGTTGTGGGGGAAGAGTACGGGTTTTTCCGCATTGTGATGTGTGTTCACTCACGCACACACACACACATGCTGTTAACTGTGCTTTTATCTTATCACAGTTAAAGCTTATCCGGTCCTCTCCTAAATATTAAGTTTACCCGCTCCCCAGTCTGTCTATGCACATATTATGTACCCACATTTAGGCCAACAATAATAGCAACAAGTTTGAAATACATGTGTTGTTGTTCTTCTTTTTTATCATCACAACAATGGAAACGCTAACAACAAATATTAAATGTGTTTCGAAGAACCTACTTATTTCTCTGATAGTTATGTTCTTGCTGCCTTTTTTTTGTTATTGTTCAGCACTTAACAAAACCAAGTTAAACAACGAAAGGGAACATAGCAAGAAGAAGAAGCAGAAAACAGATGTTATAGGTATCCAGACATTTGTTTGTTCGCCATAGGTATTAAGACGAACGAACGTTTTAATCAGGGTCATGAATTATGACATCACTCACTCCCACTCCCTACTCCCCATTCTTGTTGCCAAACAGAGGAGATAACTACATAAGTAAATATGTCTTAACGCTTGTTTACACAATTCAAGTTCACATAAATTTACAAACAAAGTTTTTGGGAGAACATGTCAAATTTTTTTTCTGACACATTTTTGAGAAAAAGATGGCGAGAAATGATTATCCAAATCAGCTGAGAGTCTAAATTCCTCAATTATTGCAACATATGTTGTAAATCTGGCAGCACTCAAGCCCTTTATCGTGATAACGACTTTATCGTGATTTATTTGACGCACATATATCACCACAGGTACAATAGTTATCAGATTTATATAAAGTCGTCATAAAAATATATTCTGTCTGTTTGTGATCGAAAACTAAGGGTGGAAATACATAAAGCGCATATTTGGCTGGCTTAAGTCATCAGCTGGATTCTTCGTAGAGGAACAAGGGAATCTTAGGTTG